ACAGACTCGTCCTGCATTAGAAAAATACGCATTTAAAACAACCAAAAAAAAACCCACTGAATTTGTCACAAAAAGAATCCTATTATGTTTGATTGTTAAAAAATGAAATTAAATAAACAATACAGAGTGGTTCCCTAAAATTATCAGTATAACTCATCTCTGATCAGTATTCACAAGAAATAATCATCTCAAAATTACTCAAAATGATTTATATAAACTTCCTGCAGTTATTACATTAATTGTAACGTTTATCAGTTGTTCTGTACTGTTATTATTGACTATAATGTGTAATATCCATAAAATATGTCAGGGGTCGTCAGTTTATATGCTCTATAGGGTCATGTCCTTGAGGAAGATCTGCTGAGTTATTTAGATAACTTGGCAGAGTCTAAAGTTGGTCTCCAAAAACTCACCTTGGTTATGGCCCTGCAATAGTCACAGTGCTGATTCAGTAGTGCTGTACAGTCTTTCTTTTTTGTCTTAAATAAACATTGAGTAAAATGTCATAATTTGACAGGAAAATAATGAAATGCAATTTGAGAAAATTACCACCTAGATATAATTCAAATGTATTGTAGATGCTCTGTAACATTTTCTATGAAGGTCACATCTATATTGCATTATAAGCACACTCAAAGGACATTTTAATGTGTTTATAAGGTTTTGTAAAACTTTTTATAAATGTTTATAATCATCTATGACAATTTATATTATAATATATTACCTGTGGTGAACATAATGTATTATTTGTTCACATTCATAATGCTTTATACCTCCATTGGTGTGTCCACAGTGTTAAAAAGAAGAATCCTGACTTCAGCCAGTTATAAAGACACACAGAGAACTGCTCCAACGTATCACATAAAGTGGTAATGTGTGATTTATCTTGTTAGCAGATGATTAGGAGCATGGACTCACCAAAGTAGAAGTTGGGGCCGTCATGTGGCTGGAAGAATGTTCCACAGGCTTTGGCATGAACGATTGCTCCTTTACTGACCAGCAGCTTCACATAGGGAAGACTCCTCCTCTCAATGGCTATATGGAGAGCTGTCTGTCCTACAAGAGTCATACATGAGTACATATCAGACAGGCAGTCACATTTCTTTGTCTGATGAAAGACAAAATGTGTTTTTTTTCTCACAGCATTTCTGCCTCGTTTACCTTTGTAGTAGCTGTTGGTGTAGGCTGAATTCACAAACTTTTTAATGTCACCCATCTTCTCTGAAATGTCAATTAATAGTTTCACCGTCTTGTTCTCGCCATCTTTGAGGTGCAGCAGAGCCTTCATCAGGGCGTTTTTACCATTGGACTGATCTGCGGATGTAACCACATATTCAGGGAGTTAACACACAGGTTACTGCTTGGTGCAGCTGATGCATTATGGGATTACACTCACACAAAGTGTCTGAGAGTTTCATCATGTTCTGGTGCAGGTACTGATGCAGGCCGTCCAGCTTTCCAACGTCCCTGCTGGCCACTGCTTCAAACAACCTATCGATGTTAAATGTCTTGCTGTCTCTCTTGCTGCTGTTCCCCCCGTCACCTCGAATCTGTCTACAAACAGCAAATGTTATACAGACAACAGGGTTACAAAAGATTCATGTGGGTCAAAAGACCAAGAAGCTTCACGCTCCACATTAATCAACACTGTGGGGCTTGATAATACACAGCACCCATGGTATAATAGTGTTATAAAAAGGGAGGGATCACTTTATCTTTGCATTGAGAGGCTCACTTGTCAAAGTTGAGATTGAATCTGATTGGAGATGTGGCCTCCTTTATTTCCTCCTGGTAATCAGTGTCCATGGGAGCACTGGGTGCCCCCTTGCCCAAACGCAGGGCAGAAACTAGTCCATCCTTCTTTGCGGTTTTCTGCCGTGATTTCTCCTCCTCCGTCCTGTTGTCTGACTCCAGAGAGAAGCCAAACATCTCAGACTTGTCCATCTTCACCTCTTGTTCCAGCAGTCTGCATAGAAACACAGTGCAAGTGCACATCATTCAGACAACAAGCAACAGATCCTGGGAAGCTGATTAGACAGAGGAAGTACGTGATGAGGTAGTTTGCTTCAACAAATTCTCTATTGCAGATTTCCACATGAGCCAATCAAATTAGTAGAAAGCTTCACTTTCTGTATACCAGTGGTGTAAGGTAGTTATGATAGGCCCCAGTGCAGGCTATTTTTAGGGCCCTAGGGACTTGACATCAACCTACATATTATCCACTAATCACTGCATATCTGTACTTTACAAATATACAAAAAAAGTATTTATTAATTAAATTATTAATTTAATCAAATCAATTTTTATAGTTTATGTGGAATATGCATCATTTTGTCATAAATTGCTATTGACTATTTTAAAAAAGAAAAGAAAACCATCATGGAGCTGGGTTTAACTTTTCAAGGGCATATATGAGTTCTTCTTTGAAAATAGGTGTATTTCCACCGTGGCGATCTGAATCACTCACAAGGGCCTGGCACATTGTTGGAGGACCTGCTCCCTCTACGGGCCACAGTGCAACCGCATTGCCTATATTTACAGCCCTGTGTATACCAGTGGTTTCCAGCTTGGGGGTTAGGAGCCATTCAAAGGATGATGATTAACCATGTGAGCAAGAAAAATACACTCACAACTGTGTCAATGGGTCACACACACTGCTTTGTTTTGATGGATCAGAAGCCAAAAAAGGTTGAGGGCCACTGCCGTAAACAATGCAGGACACTGTGTGTAGTGTGCTTTAACATGAGCTACCATATATTTATATTAGCTGGGTCTGAAATATGTTTACTACAGGGGATCACCTCACTAGCCTTTAAGGACACATGCATATTTTCAAACATGTGATGTTTCACCATCCAGTGACTAACAAAGGAGTGTATTTAGAAGAAGATTTCCATGACAGCAGTACACATAGTGCCCAGTCTGGTTGCCACTTCTTTGCAGAATAATCAAATAATTTACACTACGGGTTTTACAGAAACAGAATCAGCGAGTAAATAAAAGGAAAATATTCTTGCAAAGTTCAGCTGATCACGGTGAAATTATATATGATATATATATATTTTCATCTAAAGGAAGATCTTAAGGATTATGGGAACGTAATTTTTTGGTGGCTGCTTGTTCCCCTTTTCTGTCACAAAATGGGGAATTAGTGACTTATAGCTCCGTGACTGTGATGATCACAAGAAGGATATATATAGCACAGAAAGGTTTGGAAAAGTATGCATATCTTTGTTTTTTTAAGTACATGTTGCAATGAAACATGATTTATTAACAATTGTTTAATTGTACTAGATCTAAATGATGAAATTGACAAAACTGGAAGAATAGTTCTTTAAACCCTGTTTGTTGTTCAATTGTGTGTACAGAAGCACCCTCTTCCATGCCTGGAAATTATGTCCTGCTGTGTTCTTTATTGACTTATTGATTCATGACCTGTTTTTGGTACGATACTCCAGTTACACATGTAGAATTATTAATAAAGGTTAAGAGAGGCATGTCAGTGGGGACAAATCTGTTCCCTTCTCCCATACAGTTATTTTCCATACCCTCATTAAATCTCATGAAATAAGAAATAAATGATAAATGTACAAAATATATGTACACAATGAGTTGTGATTGTTTTGAGAATGTAAAAAAACAAAGAAACAGAGGGGATTCCTGTTTACGATACTACAGATGTGACAACATCCTTCAAGACCACAAACAATCAATGATTTAAACAAAACCATAAAATATCATTTGACTCACCAGAAGGACGTCTTCCTGTTCCAGATCGTCTTCTTGCTTTAAAGAAATCTGACTTCAGGTCAAAAACAAAACAACAAAGTGGAGTGTCCTGCAGAGTACTTGTTCTGCTGCCTCCTTAGATGTAAACGTTAACAGTGGGGAGATTACCAGGAACAAGCTAGGGAGATAAAGTGACACGCCCTAGAGGATATCAATGCACATTAATGGATCCATGAGTGCTTAAAAGGATGCTCTACTGACCATCGCTACTCAAGGCAAGACAGTAAAAAATACCACAAAGGAATCCAGAGGTATGCACTGCACTGAGTACCAGTATGTTATCCAACATGAACACGTATCTGATTCTAATTAGAGAAAGAGCCACAGAGCAGCCTTTTCCATACAGCATTAAGAACATTAAATTGATCTATTCTAAATTATCCCATCAAGCAAATATCAGTGGCACCTTAGAAATAAGCCCTCGTGTCTCTCTGATAATAACACAACATAAATGAGTAACTTACCCCTGTAAAATGCTACTTTTCGGGTGTTTCTGTGACTTGTGGTGAATAAAAAAAATGAAGGGAGCCTCCCTTTTTATAGTCGCTGCCACTGTGTTTCCTGTGTATGTCTTATCTGGCTCTTCGTAGTTTCACTTATGTGCATGTGTTTTCTGTGTAGCTATGGTCCTGTGACTGAGTGTGTGGTTTCAAAACGTCTGCCTAGCAGTGCAGGCTGTACAGTAGGTCTGTGTTCATGTGACGCTTTCTTTCTTAAGACCACTTCCTTTTTTTCCACAGTTAAACATGGCAAGCCGTACTTCGCATTGTGAGATGGTTCAAGTATTTAACATGTCACCCAAATAGGCACCAGACCAACTAAAACTTTATCTTTGATATTATACAGTTCGGTACTAAAAAAATGAAAGATCTTAGAGAATTAATTATTAACACTGCTTTATTTGTACTATTATCACATTACATCAGGTGTGCATATAACTGTAGTCATTTAAAAAAAAAAACAGTGAATCTGACGTAATGAATGACTGACAACACTAATAACACTGATGTCACAACTGCATTTACTTGTAGAAATATCACTGTATTCATTCCTTATTATAGAAATGATAAAGCCATCAAGTGTTGCTGTTAGAAATATTCCAGGTGAAATGCTGGTTTGCCAAAATCTGCATCGACCCTCATCTGATGCTTCTATCATTTATTGTCACTTTGATCTCCTTTTCTTACTAAACTGGATCATGAAACAAACATTCAATCATTAAAAAAAGCAGCAGCAGAGGCAAGACAAATTCTGCAATGACTGATAAAAGTAAGATCATCTTAAAAAAAAGGTTGTATGTATGAAAAGCAAAATTAACATTAAAGACAAACAATAATGTGAGTAGCAGAAATTCAGAATAGAAGATCAAGGCTTAAAATCAAGAGAAGGCAAAGAAAAAGCAGTACGTAGTAGTCAACAATCTAAGTTAGACCTCAATAGCAAACAAAAAGAACATTTCACTTGATGTAATAAAATGAAAGCATAACATAATCATAATGTTTGGATCTAAGGATCTGCTGGGACAAACTGAACAGGGACAGCCAATGAGCACATATTCACTAAACCATTCCTCGGATAAATGTTCTGATCTGGGGGCCTGTGTCACAAAGTGAAGTTAGTGTACAGTATTAGCCGGCTATCTTTGGGTTTATCTCTGGATTTCTGGTATTGTGACGCTGGTTCACTGTAAAATGAGGCAGATCATCATACGCTGCACAGCTAACCTGCTCCGGAGTAGGTTAACTTCAGTGGATCTGATCAAAACATTTACACAGGTCAGTGGAGTCATCATTCAGCCTCTTTCACATGAACACACTCGTATATGATAACCAGCATCATGATACTGGTGATCCAGGATCACAGATGTTAGGCTCAGTAATGCAAGCTAAACCAAAGAGAGCCAGACTAAGTTAAACTTGCTTTGTGAAACACATCAGACACACTCACACACACAGCATGGTCTCAGTCTGTGGATTCAAACCCTTAAGCTGAATTTGACATGAAAAGGAGAGAGTTGAGATGGAAATGCCAAAGTCAGAAAGAACCTTCTTGCATACATGTGGGGTGCTGAAGTCTTTTACAGCCCTTTTTAGTTGCTGCTGAAATGAGGCTGCTGTCAGTGAGAAAAATGATCTCTCTCAACAGTAGATCTTTTCTTGGCAAGACGGCACATAGTGAGTTTTTGGTTTTACAGAGCAAAATATCTTATAGAATTTGCCTCATTAAAACAAAGTGATGCCATTCCATAAGGCACTCAGAATAGTGCAAAATTATCAGTTAATCACGTAAACAGACAGGGATTCGCCTGTGGATCTCGTTCAACGTAGGTCACAGAGGACCATGGCCACGCCGACGGCAGAATCTGCGTTTTGTCCGTATACCACCGGCTGGGGAAACGCCTTCTCCACTTCCTGCCTTAGCACCTCGTTGCGGGCGATGGCGCTCCCACTGGCCACAATCCTGCTGACCCCCGCCTGCTGCAGACGCACAGCAGGCATCATGGAGGTGATGTTGTCTAAGACTCCGCGGCACAGTGCTCTGGTCAAATGACCCAGAGAGTGATTGGTAGTGGAGATGTTGGTCACCTGACCCAGGCAAAGAGGGTTGTGTCTCTCTCCCAGGATGGTAGGACTCACCCTCAGGTCACTCGTTTCCTGATTCAGGGCGCAATGAATCAGTTTCTCATATAAGCATGAATCAGTCAGCTCCACATCTGTATAGGAAAGAGGATGAAACATTTAATGGCAATAATCAAGCATTTAGTGTATGCGGTTAACTAGGCCGATTCAGCCGTTCTTAAGTGGATTTGTTTCCTGTATAAGAGCTTGGACAAGACTAAGAGTCTACAGCCATATTAGCAGCTCTATGAGGCTATACTTAGACACAGTGCTGCTTAAACGCTAATGTTTATTCGGGGGGGGGGGGGGGGGGGGGGCATACTGTCAGGAAAGGGGACAAAGAAGAAGGCACAGCAAGCAAAGGGACCAGCAGGCTAGACGTGTAGGCAAACCTTAGTACATGGGCCGCCAGGCTCTACCAGGTGAACTACCAGGGTGCCCCGACATGTTGGTGTTTAACAGGTATGATGTCTGCACCAAAGTGTTGGCCTGATCAGCCAACAGACCCAACACTGCTACCCTTTGAACTAAAAATACATACCGAGCTCTTTCATCCAGGCAGTGAGCATCTCCACAAAAGTGGCCAGTACGTTCCCTCCGTTGAGTGAAGCCGCCACCGCCAAGTACGAGTCTTCAAAGTAGGGGAAGTAGGAGATGGAGGAGTCCGGCTGAGGAGACTCTGGAGGTTTGAAATCAGGTGGCATGGCGAAGGTCAGCTGGGCTGAGGTGCTTATGTTAAGAACTGTAAATTCAGGAGAGATACAAACAGTCATTTAGGGCTTACAGTACAAACTAACAGCATCAAACATGATATTCAAGAGATTGCAGGCAGGATTACACTTGATGCATAATGCATTTGTTTTCTGGTACATGGGGATTTATTGCTGTATACTTTCTTTATTGTATCTTTAAAGCAATAGCGGACAAAAACAAATGGATGCAATGTGTCATGGTACTGCTGTAACAGATGCAATCATCTGAAGTTCATGGACTGGCAAAGAGTACTGCATTCACTGCATTAAGTCTGACCCTGGCCTCAGAGAGATGATTGGACTTCCTGTTTCACCTCCATCTGTCCGCGCACTCATGCAGGAGTAGACAGAGCACTGGAAGTCTCCAAGGGCGGCCCCTACTGGCGTACCAGCAGGGATACCATGCCAGTCAGAGCACGTCTGTCCCGCCAAGCCACCAGATGGCACACACTGAGGAAGCAGGTGCAAAGGGAAGCCGGCCCCCTTCAGACTGGTGCATGCACACACAGAGTGACTTAGGTTATATAGGTTACACAAAACAACTCTGACACTGTAAGTTTGTAAGGAACTGTACAAAGTGTTAGCAGTCGAACAACAATCATGCACAAGCTATAAAACATTTTCATGCATTTAGTACTTTAAAGGGGAACTTGGCAACTCTAGCCATTTCTTCGCTGGTTTTCATTTTTGTCATCGCATGTTTTCTCAACGAGGCTCCCCCTCACAGCTCTGGGACGTGTATTTCACCAGCACGTCGTAAAACAACTCACTTGCGGCACCCCCCTCCCCCTTTCTACCGCCTGCTGATGTGCCTTTTTTTTTCGCGCGGGGCAACTTTTTCGTGTGGAGCAATATCTTACCGAGGTGGGTAATACATTATAACACTAACCGTTATTGAGGGCGGCGTGTGCGGTTTATGTGGAATTGCCGTAAAGGCGTTCGTCGTTTCTCGCTCGTTCTCGCTTCTCCGATATATGTTTCTATTTCCAATTTACCCGGGACGGTAGTCCCAAAGTTGCAAGGTGTTTTTTCCGCCTGGGGTCGCCAGAGGGCGGGTGGGGGGGGTCACCATTTTCACCGGAACAGGCGATTTAACCATCCAAATGATTTCTAAACGGGTTTATTAAGCTGAAAAAGTTGCCAAGTTCCCCTTTAAATAAATTCTCTGTCAACTTCAGCACAGAAATGAGACGTTATGAAAACAGGAAGTGCTTTACATACATGTCTATATTCCACTGGTTGGAGGAAGTGTTGAAGAAGCCCCAGCTGGCTGCATTCTGAGGCGTCATCACACACCCGTCCAACCCACACAGCATGGACACCACATAGTCCTGGATGGTGCCTGCGACTGTGAAGTCCTTAAGGAACTCGGGCCTGCGGTGAAACCACACATCTTCAGGGTTCACTTTTGCATCACAAAACCAAGCGGTGCAGTAGGTTCTACGTGCTTTTTTGTTTTGTTTTTAATTTGTGCTGACCTGTGTCTCATGTACCAGAAGATTGTTGCACAGCCAAACCCGGTGGCTACGCTGAGATGTGAGTCTGGTTTTGGAAGAGACGACAGGAAGTCACTGCTGCAGCGCCCATCCTGCCAGGTGATCAGCTGACTGGTCTCTCTGACTGTGAAGAAGTCCCCGTTGGACCAATCACAACCTGCGAGGAGTAAGAGATACAGAGATATGTTTTTTTTTTGTTTTTTTTGGAATACCAAATTAGGGTTAGAGGTTTTCTATGGTTGCAAATCTATTTTCATACAAACTTTTGGATGCAACCGGCAGAGGGCAACATATTTATGAAAGAGGTACAATGGACCAACTAAGTTTCAGTTTAAAAGAGGGAGTTGTTAGCAGAAAATCTCATGCTTTCATTGTACCTGTGTATGCCAAGCCTCTTGATCCATTTTTTAAAAGAATCTTAAAAGGTCATCAGAACTGCAGAATGGATAAATATGTAATTCATTGCAACTCTCTTCTTGAAAGGCTTCTTCCAGATCCAGTGAAGGTTTTTCTAAAGCCTGTGGGCGGCTTAAACATTACAGGAACTGCTGTCCAGTGAATCACTGATAGTCTCTACAGACAGAGTGGATTGTTAAGAGTCCCACTAATAACACGTATTACATTAACTGACCTGTGAAATAAGAAAGTACATACAATAGGAAATTGGGGATATCCTTTTTCTTTGATTATCACACATAATAATTCCTGATATATATATATATATGTGTGTGTGTGTGTGTGTGTGTGTAATTTTAATCTACATTATGTGAGTTCATAAATTGTAAAATGTAAAAGCAATATGTCAACATGCTGGAAACACTGCTGGCCGCACCGTCTACTTGATGAGCAGATCACTTACTTCCTCAACAATGTGGTTGTTTTATTTATTAATCGATTCATAGCCTGAAAACAAAACCAATTGTAAGAATTGTAAGAGTTTTGCACTGTATCTACATTTGGGGGCCATGACCATCAGACCAACTTGTTTTAAAAAAAGTCAATCTGTGCTATCTCTTGCTGTTTCCTCTCTGGTTTCTTTTACACTTTAAATGAATCAATAAGAGAAGAAATCCGTTTATTTGCTGCTCAGACAGCTCCTGTCTCACATCCGTTGTTTCACATGTTTAACCACACTTGTTGTGAAATGCAGGTAGGTTAAGAGTCTCACAGCGCTGTGCTTTCCAGAATAAAACCCCGTGCATCTGCCCGGACAGCCCGATGCTGCTGACCCGCTGCAGTTCGTCTCTGGGCAGCAGACCGACGCACCGGTTCAGAGCGTCCACGATCCGGCCCGGGTCCTGCTCTTTCGCCTGCGTGTGGAGGAAACACAGCCAGGTTAACCAGGGGAGCCCGCAGCAGTGCTGGGGTCACTGGGCTGCTGGGTAACGCTGTGTGGCACGGGGGCGCACTCACCTTAACCCCGTCACTGTCGGTGATATCTGACGTCGTTGGCGCAGTGTGAGTGGCAGCCACCGACCTGGAGCCGGTTTCTAATAAAACGGCCTTTACCGACGTGGTGCCCACGTCTATACCCAGAATATAGGTAGACATTACTCCTGCTGACACGGTGTACTTCGCCTCTCAGCCATACATCATCATGACAGGGCAAAGGCAACCCTGCTGCCTTCATGTCACAGTAGGAAAACGGATAAATTCATCTCTAACGGCTTCAGATGCACACAGCTGTCATATAATGGAGAGAACTCAGCTTATCAAGTTTTATTTTCACCTCTGAATGTCATACCATGAAATTCTTGCTGCTTTGCTGAAATCTGAATGTCGCTCAAGATTCTTGATTTCGAGAGGCATAGACACTTCAGTAAATAACAGAAAGCTAATCTTTCTAAATCTAACTTATCAACCAGCTCACCCACCATACATGCACAGATTATGATGCTTAACATAAAAGCAATGAACACAGCAATGTTTCAAACCAGAGTGGAAGAACATCGGGCGGCCACCGTAATACTATTAAAGCCACAAAGAAACAAAATATTTCCTTTTGGGGACTTTTACATGTATTTTGAAATGTGGTGCCTCCGTGGGGGGACACGTTCATCGTGAGGGCCGTTTTCCCTGTTGTGAGTTTGGAGTTTCCTACTCTTTCATGTTCTCAGAACGCACCACAACGTCGCCTAGGGTTTGACGATTACGCTGTTCCCACAATGCACTGCGGAGGAGCATGGCCGACTCTTGTCTAGGAGTGTCATCCAAACGAGAATGAATGCGCTGTCCCTGTGCCGTATGTGTTAACATCCCTTTAACCTCGTCCGGTACTCGAGTCTGTGGAGCCGCTGCGAGGAGCCGACAGTCTCTACGTTGATATCCGGTGAGAATCTCCTCCGTTACCGTCAGCGAGCGGAGCTAGCTATTAATGCTATTCTGTTAGCCACACACAATGTTACAACTGGACGGTTTAATGTGCAGTTAAACTCTCCAGGTTCATACACTGTGCCTTCAGTTCATCCATTACTTTACTGACTAAAGTTGGCTCGCCTTTGTCCACTTGTTGGTGTTTATGTGCCGGTGTCTGTCACAGGAGCGATGTACCCTAAAAACACTTCGCGGTCACAGCTGTGACCCGGCTGTACAGGGGTCAGTACAGGTGTCAGTACAGGTGTCAGTACAGGTGTCAGTACGTCAAGGTTAACACACAGAAACCGACAGAGGTCCGCGGGTACATTGGCATGCACGCTAATGCAGACTGGACAAAGACGAAAAAGACGATCTGTCGGCAGCCTTGTCGACGTTAGCTTACCCACAATGAAGCAAATTAGCTGCGAAACACACAGAAAAAGCCCCGATCCTGGTGACAGACACCGGCACATAAACACCAACAAGTGGACAAAGCACCGAGTCCACACTTT